TCACCTTGTTACCAACTCATCTGCTTATTAGACTTGAATTAAGATAGATCCTCATAGTCTTAGTGTCTAGAATCTCTCCATTTGGATTGATACCTCAAGTGCTACAATGACATGAGTAGTTGAGGAATTGATCAAGGATTGAAAAATTCCTACTATCAATTTGGCGCCGTTGCCAATTGGAGATTCATTCTAGCATTAGGACTTTGGATCTTCTTGAGATCAAGTCATTTTCTTTTGTTTTACTGATTACCTTTCAAGTGTTGTCTTTGTTTTCAGGTGTATGAACACCAGAAGTGAAGAAAGAAGACAACGAGAAAGAGCTGAGCACATTGAGAGGTTGGGTATGGATCAAGGGCAACAGGCTCATGGTGGTAATGGAAACCACCAGAATCAGCAAGACCCACCACCTCCACGTCCAAGACAAGTTGTGGGAGCTACTGATGAGGCCAATGCTCAAGGTCAAAGACATGGGATTCAAGCTCCAACACCTGAAAACGATTTTGAGATCAAGTTTGGCTTGATCAACATGGTGCAATCAAACAGGTTCCATGGCTTGGCAGTAGAAGACCCACTAGATCACATTGACAACTTTGATAGAGTTTGTGATCTAACTAAGATGAATGGAGTGAGTGAGGACAGTTTCAAGTTGAGGCTGTTCCCTTTTTCTCTAGGAGACAAAGCTCATCAGTGGGAAAAGTCTCTACCTCAAGGATCAGTCACAACATGGGAGCAATGCAAAAGAGCATTTCTAACCAAGTTCTTCTCTTCATCAAGAACAGCAAGGTTAAGAAATGAAATCTCAAGTTTCATTCAGAAGAACCATGAATCATTTTGTGAGGCTTGGGAAAGATTTAGAGGGTATACCATGCAATGCCCTCACCATGGATTCTCAGATTGTCAGCTGCTAAGTACCTTCTACAGAGGTGCTTTACCAAAGGTCAGAATCCTCTTGGACACAGCTTCAAATGGTAATTTTATGACCAAGGAAGTCAATGACGCCATGACCCTAGTGGAGAATGTAGCTCAAAGTGATGAGCTTTATGGATCAGACTTTGAAAGGAATTCAAGAGGAGCTGTGAGTGCTGAAGAGGAAAGGACAAGGAAAGACACCAAGTCTCTCAATGAGAAGCTAGACACACTTCTCTTAGCTTCTCATCAGTCAGCCAACTTTGTTAGAGATGTGAATCATGTGTTTCAAGACACATTTCAAAGGGAAGACATCACAGCTGAGGTGAACTTTGTAGGTGGCCAACAAGGTTACCAAAAGGGCTTTACCTACTACAAGAATCCCCCAAACCAGAACTTCTATCCTCAAAACACTCAACAACAAGGTTTTTTATCTCCCCAACAACAAAGTCTCCAACAGAACTCAGAGAATAAGGATCAAGAAGTGCAGAACCTGCTCCAGCAAATCCTCCAAGGTCAAGCAAATGGTGCCATGGACTTCAACAAGAAAATGGCAGAGATTAACAACAAGGTGGATTGCACTTATTCTGATCTTCTAACTCAACTTTCCACCTTGGCTTCCAAAGTCAAGACTCTAGAGAACAACAAGGGCCACTGCAGTTCTCAAGCTCAAAGATCTTTACCAGGGACATCAGTTGCACATCAAACAGAATACTGCAATGTCATCCTCTCAAATGCTGAGAATCATGCTGCTGTCCAAGAAATTGAGGATCTTCTCCATGGCAATGTCTCAAGTGAAAAATTCATGACAAAAGATGATGAGGACGCCATCATAGATGAGTTTGACTTCCTGTTCTGTGATCTCAATGAGGACATTGAGAAAGATGGTAGGGAGGCAGCTTCTTTTTATATGAGAAAGAATGATTCTGAGATTACTGAAAGAAAGGATCAGAGAATGGTTCAAGGAAGGATATCTGATGGAGTCTCTAGCACTGGTTCAACAAGGGCGAAACCCAAATCAATTACCAAGCTAGGTAATCCAGGAAAGTTTTCCATCTCATGCTCTCTTGGAAATTTGAAAGTGGACAATGCTTTGTGTGATTCTGGATCAAGCATCAGTGTAATGTCTTTAGACATGGTGGAGAGACTAGGGATCAAGAGTCTTAAGCATCACCCCATGTCAATTACCTTTGGAGATTCATCCTCAAAGAAGCCATATGGAATCCTTGAAGACTACCAATTGAAAATTGGTGAATGCACAGTTCCAACAGATTTTGTAGTTATGAAGATGAAGAAGACAAAAGAGCTACCTCTTTTGCTTGGAACTCCATTTCTGAACACCACAGGAGCAAGGATGGACTTTGATACTCAAAGAGTGGTGCTTGCTAAGGTAGATGATGAAGTATCTTATCCTCTTAAGTCTCCTCTTGCTGGGTTTTGTGGAGTTATATCTGATGATTCTGATGAGTTGAAGCACTATGAGATGAAGTATGTGGGGAGTATTGGAACTATAGAAGAAGCTCAACCCCTTGCATCTGTTGAGAAGAAGAAAGAATCCTTAGTAAGACCTGATCTTGAGTTTGAAGGAGATTTCTTTAGTGATGATGAAGCTTGCTTGGAATCTTTTTCTCCTACACTAAGTGGGAAGGAGGTCAGCAACAACAAAAGCAATAGTTCAGGGTCTCAAGACAAGAACCCAACAAGCACCAAATCATTCACTCTTGGGTCCTCTTCTCAGGTGATAAAGCTCACTCCATGGAAGTTTGATGGTGGAGCTGTGGAATACAAGGTTAAAGGCATTGGAGGATCAAAACCTTTTGCAAAAGTCAGGGCAATCCTCACACAAGAGCTCATAGACAAAGGATCTGATGGTGTCCAAGAGCTGATGAACAAGGACCTAATGCTTGAATTCATGGACAAGACAAGGAGCATCAAAGCTCCTCCTCTCACTCACTAAGAAAAGAGTATGAAAAGTCAAACTTAGTGAGTTAAAACAAAGTGCTCTTGGGAGACACCCCAAACTTATCCTTTGTAAATATTCTTTTTAATGCTTTCTCTTGGTGTTTTTAGGATGTTTTGATGTGTCTTGTGGAGTGTGTTCAGGTTACACATGACCTGGTGTTCTTTAGCCTCCTGAGATTCACAATTCCACTACTCCTTTCCATCACAAACAAATCTGGTAACACTCCAAACTCCTTGTACATATGCATCTAGTTCTTTATTTCTCATTTTGCATCTTTCTTGCTTTTGCCTTTCACTCCTCTCTTATGCTTTTATAACACAAGGGACTGTGTTATTTAAGTGTGGGGGAGGGGTTTTGTGTTTACTAATCATGTTTATTCTGCTCTTATTTTGCTTTTCACTTTGAGTCTCATTTTGCATTCATCTAAGTGCATATAAAAAACCAAAAAAATGGAAAAATCTGAAAAAATTTCACAAAAAAATGTTCATTCTAGTTGCATTTCACATTTTTAAGATTGAGTCTAGTTGCATCATATAGGTTTCATTGTGCATGGGAGTAATGATAGGTTCTTTCCTTGAGAGTACATCACTTTGAGAATTTGGATTAAATATGCTTGTGAAATGACTTTTGTGCTTGCAAGGCTTGAAATGGTTTGAATCTGAGAAGCAAGTTTGAATTGAACTCAACTCTAATAAGTGAAAACCTTGAACTTGACTTGAAATTATCTTGTGATGCATTGTTTGAATAAGCTTGTGGATACCTATATACATATTTGAGCTAGAATCCTGTTTTTACCACCCTCTTCCTTAGCTCAAATAGCTTAGTCCACATCTGGATCAGTTTTCCTCACCTTGAACCCATCCTTCCTTCAAGCCAAATGTTTGTGTGTGATTGAAAGGCCACCTTGGATCAAACTTAGCAGAAAGTGTTAGGTTTAGAGCGACAAGGGCAAGTCTCATTGAGTGTTAAGTTCCATCATCAAGGAGCTGAGAGATTTGGCAAGAACTAAGTGTGGGGAGATACTTGTTGGTGAGTGGAAAAAGGAGAGATGCGTGGAAAAAGGAGAGTGGTGAGAACTAGGGGATAGAAAAAAAAAAAAGAAAAGAAATCAGTCTTGGAGTTTTGAGTCAAAGAAAGGGAGCTCTAGTGTTTTGAAAAGAAAGAGTCTAGCCTCTAAGTGAAAGGAAAAGAAAAGAAGCCAAAGAGCTCAAATGTTTTAAAAAGAAAGAAAAAGAGGCTAGAAGTTACAAAAGAAAGTGAAAAACAGCTATGTAAAGTTTGAACTCCAAGACTTGAGTGTGAAAATGAAAAGTGAGTCCCCTAGTGAGAGGAAAATGAGTGTGGAAAGTGAGGTTCTTGAGAGGTTGAGCAAGTGAGAAAGTTTTGAGTAGAGTGTGGGGTGGGATGAGTCCTTGCCCTTGTATGCATAGGTTGCTTTTTACCTTTAGCATTCTGCCAAAGTTTGATCATTCATAGAGAGATCCCCTTGCTGCATTGAACCCACTTAGGCGCTGATGAGACCATTTTAGTCTCATTACCTCACCCTAGCCAAACTTTGCTTGTTTGAACACTGCATCATTTGATCCACTTGGTAAAGAGCTTAATGAATGTCAAAGAGTTGAGGAATAAGAGAACTTGTGGAGATTACTGTTGAGTTGATACATCAGAGTATGGTCTTGCATTGAATATTGAGCATGAACCTTGAATTCTCTTAGTGGTCACTTTTCTCTTTCAAAGGAAAAATGAGCTCCCAATGCATTCAACCTTTTCCTCTCATTTGTTCCTTTTTTGCTTGAAGACAAGCAAATGATAAGTGTGGGGGAGTTGATATATTCATAAATTGCATCATTTAATGTACATATTCTAGTCCAAATTATGTCTCATTTGCATACATTTTAGGTCTTTAGGCATTGTTTTAGGACTTAGGAGATTGCATTAGGTCCAAGAGAGTTTTGCATGGTTTAGAGTGTTAAACAGGTGCTTTTGGAGCTTATTTGGAGTGGAGGATGTGATTCAGATGAAGAAATGGAGTTGAAATGATCAAAAATGGTGAAAAGGAGCAATTTTGGGTTTCTAGGCAAAATGATGTACTGATGGCCGAAGATTCTCGGCCAAAATCCTTCCCGCGGGTAGATCAGGAATCAGATCTCAAGTTTCACGCAGCACAATAACGAGAGCTTTAGTGAAGCTTGGGAACGGTTTAGAAGCTACACTAACCAATGCCCACACCACGGCTTCTCAGAGGCATCCCTCTTGAGTACTTTATACCGAGGTGCACTCCCCAAGATCAGAAACCAACTCGATACAGCTTCAAATGGGAATTTTCTTGGAAAAGAGATCACTGCGGCAATGGAACTAGTTGAGAACCTAGCCATGTCCAATGACACGTATGGAGAGGACTTTGATAGAGCAAACCGTACAGAGGGATCTAGTGATGAACAGCGCATGAAAAAGGATATAAGAGAGCTTCAGAGTAAGCTTGACAAGGTTTTGATGGAGACTCAAAAGCCAATACACTTTGTAGGCGAGTTTGATGAGCAAGGGCCAAGTTTTGACAATGTCAATGAAGATGGTCTAACACAAGAGGAGCTGAATTACATAGGGAATCAGCAGAGGTATCAGCGGTTTAACAACTACAACAGTAACCCAAACCTCTCATACAGAAACCCGAATGTAGCTAACCCTCAAGACCAAGTGTACCCTGCTCAACAACAACAACAAAGCTATGCTCAAAAGGCTCCTTTTCAGAATACCTTCCAGCCCAAGCAACAGTTCAGTGGGCAACAGCACGGCTACACTCAGCAGAATCAAGCGGCTCAGAGTAACAACTTCAACAACCAACCGCAGCAACACAAGTTTCCACCAGGGTTCCATCCGCAGCAGATTCAGGGAACGGGTCAGAATCAAATGGGGAACGACGTCTGTGGGATACTACAGCAACTGTTACAGGGCCAGCAAAGGGTTGAGAGCCAGCACGCGACAATGCAACAAGATATCAGAGAGCTTAAGCAGAATCAAGCTTCTACATCATCAAGAGGCCCAGCTTTACCAGGTAAACCGGAGCCGAACCCTAAAGAGTATGTGAACGCCATCACATTGAGGAGTGGTAAGGAATTACAAACTCCAACGCCTAAGACAAAGTTCATTGAGGCCAATGAGCAATTAGAGGGGGAGGCAGCCTCAGACGATGCGTGTAAAGAAGCGGTCTTAGAGAAGGAACCGATCAAGGACAAAGGAAAAGAGGTGGAAAAGACAACCGAGCTTGAAAAGCCCTATGTTCCACCACCACCTTATCAACCCAAGATACCGTTCCCAGGGCGTTTCAAAAAGAAAATCCTAGACAAGGCAAAGGCGGTCTTTGAGAAACACTTGGAGAACACGCAACTCACCTTACCCATTATAGATGCTTTCTTAGCTATACCCCAGCTTGGGAAGTTTCTAAAGGACGCGATCCTCAACAAGACAAAGGAGCTCCAGGGTATGGTGATACTGAACCATGAGTGCAGTGCCATAATACAAAGAAGATCTATACCAAGGAAGCTATCTGATCCGGGCAGCTTCACTTTGCCGTGTGCTTTAGGTCACCTGAAGTTCTCAAACTGTTTATGTGACCTTGGAGCTTCTGTGAGCTTAATGCCTTACACGGTGGCCAAGAGATTGGGATAAAAAAGCTACAAGCCAGCCAAGATCTCTCTTGTATTAGCTGATAGATCGGTTAGAACCCGGTGGGGTTGCTTGAGGATCTACCTTTGAGGATCGGTGAGATAGAAATCCCCACGGACTTCATAGTTCTTGAGATGGACGAGGAACCATTATACCCTATCATCTTGGGCCGACCGTTCTTAGCAACCGCAGGAGCCATAATAGATGTGAGATGAGGAATGATTGAACTACACATCGGTTCCGAGACTATGAAGTTCAACGTGAAGGAAATGATGAAGAAACCGACCATTGGAGGTCAGGTTTTCTATGTGGAGGTAATGGAGGAGCTGGCTGATGAGCTCCTTGAAGAGTTGAACGCAGAGGATCCGTTACAAGTGGTCTTAACGCGGGAACAAAGCGAGCACGGGTACTTGAACGAGGAAAGCGAGGTGTACAAGCGTCTTTTGGACCAACCGAGGGAACTTGGAGCTGAGGCGAGGTTTTTGGAGCTCCACACGAGCAGCCTCGACATTCTAGAAAGCGAGGAGTCAAAGGGAAAAGAAGAGACACCTCGGGATATCATGGCCGTGACAACTCATACCGAGGCCGATGGTAAACCGCGCGAGAATGAAGCAAAGGCCGAGGAAGCTGTTCCGGGCCAATGCAGCTTTGATGCCGATTGGAATGAGGCAGACGCACCCCCTGTTGAGCTCAAGCCTCTACCAACAGGGCTCAGGTATGCATTCTTAGGTCTAAACTCTACTTTTCCTGTGATCATAAACGATAACTTGCTTGAGCATGAGGAACATGCATTACTTAGTGAAATAAGGAAATTCAGGAGAGCCATAGGGTATTCCTTGGCTGACATTAGAGGAATCTCTCCTGATATATGCACCCACAGGATT